AAGTTCAAGAATTCTTTTGGCTTTCTGTGAAATAATAATTTCTCATTGAAATGCTGGTATATAGTGATGGTAATCATATCATCTGGTTCAAAATGCACTGTAGGAATTTACAATGTATTGTGGGTTCACAAAATCTGCTTATTAATGTTTCTTATTTTATTAGGTGCTTGCTGCCCTTCCGGGGTGAAGCTATATCGACTCGGCAATAACGGTATCAGGGTATACTGGCGAGCTTCTGAAGAAACGAGAGACTACCATACTGATCTACATGGCTCAAAAGGCAATTTCACCTGTACCCCTAGCTCAGGTCTAAGTCACTGTGACATCACGGAGATACCTTGTGGAGATGTCTACACAGTGGTAGTATCTCCAGTTACTGATAAGGGGCCGAAGCTTACATTTTGTCCTAAAAAAATATATTCAGGTAAAACTTAAATTTCTTTGAATGATGTATTTTTGTCCAGGCACGCGAGATGGTTAAAATAAGCCAAAGTTATGTCAGTAAAGGTGGCAGAGAATAGAACTTTTTTATTCTAGTGTTGACTCCAGAGTAAACTTTACGGGTGCTATCTTGCAATATCTGTAACGGGAACTTGACAGGAACATTTTGGGACTGGGCATACTTATCTACACAGGTGCCTCAAGTGGATCACCCATAACCTGGTGAATACCGAGAAGTTAATTTTCAGTTGGGAGGTTAGTAGTGGTTAGGATACAGAAGCAAATAAATGAGGATTTTTTAATTGTTTTGTTTTCAAATTTGTTGTATAGAATTATTGTTTTTGAATAAAGGAACAAATCAAGAACTTGTATGAACCACTCCTAAGCGCATATTTTAAGTAAAAATTGTTTAAAGTAGTAGTAGTTTCCTTGGGATTCCTTTCCCAGGGCATAAATTTAATCCATTATAAAACTACTGCTACCTGATGGGATTGCACAGTTGTATAGCATGGACTACGTTCTACAAACTGCTACTGTTTTCCAGCTTATAACCTGACACCTAACATTTATACTACTGTTTCATGTCATTTCAGTAACCTGTTCTGGAAGCTCTGTTGGAATGGGTAAGAGCACACAGTACATCCATTCCAAATCCATGATGTTTGTAAAACATGTTAGCGTCATGTAACTGCAAATAAGATGCAAATAATATATGTATTTGATAGTCAAGGCTCGTGTTAGTGTTATGCAGGGTTGTCTCACCCCCATCTTATAATGTGTAATTAAAAAAAAAAAATCTTACCTATATTGCGGCCTGTGTACCATCATGCATTCTACACTGTCACAACATTTACTGTTTATCTGATAGCACATAAGAGGGAGGCTTACCTTTTATAGCCTCACCATATCCTTTTACATTTTAAACTAGGTCACACTTCTGATTATTTAAAAAAAAACATTAAAGAAAGTGTGGCTTACCTCAGCCTATTTTACTTTATTTCTTCTGGGGTTTCAACAGGGTAGACTTCTGCTTTATTTGCCTAGCTAAACTGCTAGAAAACTTCAAAAGCAGCCACCGAAACAAACATTTCTCAAGACAGTTGCTTTTCCATAACTGAAATTATCTTCATTTCTGAATTCTGTTATAGTGATTTATAGAGGAAAGAGCAATGCAGAACAACATATCTAGATGGAAATTCTGGTTCAGATAAGGAGGTAAGTTATAAGAGTCATAATTCAGATTAGGATGCATTAATCAAACTTTTCCTGCTGCATAAATCCTTGGGATTGGAGGGATAAGCTTCACCATATATATCCTGTATATCCTAAAGAGAACTGTTTTGTAAAATCCATCATACTTACCTCAGAACCCTCATGTCATCTACTCCTACTGTCAATACTGGTTTGTCCTCTCCTCCATTTACAATAAACCCCTCTTTCACTTCATTAAGCTTTTTCTAATACTATCCTATAGTTCCCCAGAAGACCCCTCAAAACCCAAACAGATCAAGATACTCTTCGGCACTCGCTTACTTTCTCTCTCTGCTAGCTAAAATTGCTCATTCCCCAACAAAAGTACTGGTGTTCGGGACTATTTACTGCCCTTGTCTCAAAAGGATGGCAAGAAGTCACTGCTGACTTTCCCCCCCCCCCCCAAAGTTGATCATCTCCTCTTTGCTGCTGTTCTCCTACAGCTATCCTGGACGTTAAGGTTATTGACACCACCATTCCCCCTAAATGCTCTCCTTGGTCTTTCTTTCCCTGCAGCTGGAAAGATGACATCTGTGCTTAACTGCAACAGTCACAGCTGCTTGAAGGCTGGGAGGAGGGAAGCTGATTTGCCCTATCTGAGATCTATTCCAGGACATCACATTTGAGCCCCCGCTGATGAGATAATTTTTTAAACGCAGATGAACACTGATAGATCTCCGTAATCTTGAACTGTAATTTTCCCTGTAAAGCAATCAGTTTTAAAAGCTCTTCCAAGACAGTTGTTAATCAGTAGATGTGTCCTAGACCTCATGTGTCAATGAAATAGTAAAGGCTGAGATAAAGATTAAAAGAGTGACATTTAACTCCTTAAAAAAAAAAACACAGCAGTTTAAGTGCGCTCAATTTAAAGTAGCTTGAGGCTTAATCAAGTATTCTAAGGCTATTTAATTTAAATTTAAAAAAAAAGTTTCTTCCTTCACGATTTTGAGAGGTGACTCATGAGGGTAAACACGATGTCCTCCTCACATCAACTGACTTGTTTTGCTTTGTAGCTAATGAACTGACAGATACTACTAAGATCTTAATTTCCCATTTTTCAGAAAAGGCAGAACCTTTTCTCAGACTCCGCAGTGGTTACTTTTTCAGCCAACACAGAAAGCAAAGTTCAAGTTCAAGGATTCTACATACACATAAAAAGTAAAACAATTACTCAAAGATACCTTACAAAAACAGTCTTCAGAAGCTCATGTATAAAGGTTACCAAAGGCAACAGGGTTTTTAACAGCATTTTCAGCTTATAAAAACAGACACCATGCATTCTGAAAGTTTCCTTTCTTCACAGCACACAGTTGTACTGCTTCCGATCGCTTGCCCAAAATAATCTCATGGGAATCTCGCTCGTCAAGAAATTGATTGTAGATGGCCCAAGAATTACATGTTGCTTCTTAGAAAATGATCTGCATTTATTCACTGTCAAACAAGTCTTTCTTTAGGAAGCATTATCTAAAACTGCCCTGCCTTAATAAAAAGTTGGGTTTATTTCTTGTTTGATTTGAAAAAAAAAATTCAGTATTGTTCACAACTTTCTTCCTCGAGGGTTTTATTTAAATACCTTTTCTTCGCAGTCATCATTGTCAAACACTGTCACCAAAGCCTAGGTGTTTAACCAAGTGGCTCTTAACTGGATTTTCAGAGGTCTAAAGCAATCAGTTTCTTTTGGAATCAAATTCAGGCCACAGCTTTCTTCTTTTCACATAAGGAATTCTGGTATTTCCGTGCTCTAACAGTAACTCTAACGTATTTTAAGCAATTATAAACTGTAGGTGTATTTTTTCTCTGTTCTTCCTGGCATACAGACCTCGACATCTCAAAATTACCCACTACAACTTTGACAATGCTGTAGTACTATTTTCATCAGCTCATTTTCATGATTGAAAATGAGAAGTGTAATTGTAACAGAACATATTATTTGCATGTCTGTTAAATAAAAAAAATTTTAAAAAAGCAAAAAGCTGAAGAGGGGTTGAGATTCCAAGAAACAACACATTGATTCAGCTCAAAACAAGTAGTTAGAAGATGTAGACAATTTACCCAAACAGGGAGGAAGAGCAACACAACCAAACCAAGCCAGATCCACACCTCCTACTGTGGTGGTGCATACATTGCAGGCGTTGGTACTGGGGCGTTAGATGTTGGCTAGTAATAAACAACAGTGCCGATACGTGAAACGTCACTGGCACTCGCCAAGATGATTAAAAAACTTCAGTCAGGATTAGTTTCAGGTTCTCTCCAGATTGAGGCAAATGCTTTTTTATGGGTCACGCTGACTTGTTTTAAGATCACAGGAAAGGACAATTAGATGTTGTGTTTTCATAGATGTAGTTTCTACACTATTTAATAGTATGAAGCTCTGGGCTTCATGAAGCAAAAAAAACCCCAACCAACCAAAAAAACCCAAATAAACCCCAAAATAACAACCCCCAAGCAACCCAACCCCACACACCCACTCGTTAAAAGAAGAAAAACTTGAGAATCGAGAAAATTCCTGGGTTAAACACTAACGAGACCAAAAGAAGCCTTCTAGTGGCACGTAAGGTAAATGAAAGCTGTCCTCATAGTTTTGACAGAGCCCGTGCAATCTCCTGGCAGACTGGAAAGGCACTTCTAATAATCTACTAGCTGGGGTATTTCTTAAATGGCCAATACAGTTTTTCTCCTCCCATATTAAATGAGAGCTCAGTATTTTGGTTTTACACCGCAATGGAAAAGAAGTTGTTGAAGCTTAAGCTCTGTTTCAAGCTCAGATTTAAAATCGGGTAACAAAAATATAAGCAGACAATACCTGAAAAACCTCGGTATTAAAAGATTTCTAATACTAAGGATCACGGTGACAAAGGAAAGACTACCAATTCATAAAACAATACATAAGAGCAGGGAGGAAGAAAAAACTGAGTTTGTTATTTTTTGCTTCTTTGAATACTACGGAATGAAGTGTATTGTTAGAAATTCAAGCACTGTTTGTTTTCTCCTGGAGGTTTAAAAAGATCCTAATATTTAAAGATCGTACCTAGAGGACCCGCATCACACAGAAGCAAAAAAAGACACAAACACCGATTTATTTCTGCCTTCGGGTCACTTCATGGTCACGAATGAGTCACACTTAACGTTCTTCTTGGTTCTGGGCCGCTGCATTTCTTTGTTAGCTACATCTTCCTCATAAGGTATCCATCACGTAAAATCCCTTATTCATACGAAGCGTCACTTAGTCTGAAAGTGAAACGTGGAGGAACCCAAACACTCTTGAACTGGCAATGCACGTGCAGGGAAAAGCTGACACCCGATACAAAGGAATTAATTGAGAGTTTATTCCAGATGGTTCTCCTCACTTAGTATACAAGTCATCAGAGTAATCTATCAAATAGACTTGGACTTCAATGATATGATTTTTTTCAATAATGCATTTTGGTTTTTGCTTCTAACAACCTGTTTAAAAAAAAATCTGCCAGATGAAATGTTCAGCACAAACTGCAATCCTTACTATTTGTAGAAAATATGACTTAAAAAAAGGACACTATCAGGTAATTCTTATTTTAAATGTTTACACTTATAAAAATGCTTTGGAAGCTTGAAACTGAAATCCTTTGTAATAATTTTCTTCTTCCTACCTCCCTCTTCCCATCTTAAATGCCTTTATTAGCCCAGGATTATCACAAATAACAGAGTGCAGCTGCCGATTAAAAAACATTAGAAGACCACAAACGGTTAAATCGTGTTTTTAAAAAAATGGAAGCTTACATGGATTTTTTTTCAAACAAATAAAATGCATAGATGGCTACGGTACTCATCCATCAACCTGTACAGCGTCCGCTTGAGGTAGCCTTTCTAAAGAATTACTGAACAAGCCCCAACATAATCTAAATCTTGGCGTCAAAACCACCCTCTCCTTGAAAGTCCACTCTCAATTTAACACCAGTGGTGATCAGCAACATAATACATTTTAAAAGCTTTTGAAAAAACAGCAGGTACAGTGGACATAAATGTTAGTTCTAAATCTGCAGCCCTCAATGTACACCGTATGCACATAAATATCTCGGCTATAATACACGTTCAGGATCCATCCCTAAAAGCCATACTATGATGTAAAGCGCAGCCATGCTAACTTCAGGATACAAACCATAATTCCACGTCTGCGAAGTGAAAGTAGAATTAGTGGCAGTTTATTGCCTCATACAAATTTAACCAACATGGCAACCATGCCAAAGGAATTAAAACATTTTCAGGACATATGTACAGACTGTACATTTCAGAAACATCTGAACAATAAAAATGCAAGAACAATCTCTGCATTACGAATTAAACTAAACAAATGGTTCGAAACCGTCAATGCATTGAATGGGTTTACAAAGGCACTTCCCTACCCAAAATAGGAAATGACAATCTGCAGCCTAGAGGGAGGTCGGAGAAGAGTGCTCATCAACTACTGCACAATCTCAACTTTAAGAAAAAATAAGCAGGATTTAATCAAACATTTATAGGATTCAATGTGATCCACTTCTGAAAGAGTTCACACAGTCTCATCTTTGTTTTTATGTTGCTTTTCCTGGCTCTCTCGTTCCGTGCTTTGGCTCCTTCGACGATCGTGTTTGTCTGAATGGTCCTTGCTATCACTGTGATCATGTTTGTGGGAACGTTCTTTGCTTCTGCTACGCTTTCTAGATTTTTCTTTGCTGGGACTCTGGTCTCGTTTTCTGGACTTCTCAACACTATCTGTTCTTCCTCTGCTTCTGCTTCTACTTCGCTTATTTGACTTCTCTTTACTTTCATTTTTATGTTTACTTGATTTCTCTTTGCTCCTGCTTCTGCTGCGCTTACCTGTATTCTTACTTCGGCTCCTACTCCTATGCTTTCTTTCCCGGCTTCGACTTCTACTATGTTTTCTCTCTTTTTTGGAATCCCTCTTGTCATCCCGGTGTTTCTTGTCATCCTTGTCATCCTTGTGTCGTCTCTCTTCTACGTCACCCTTACTTTTCCTTTCTTTCGATCTTTCTCTAGATCGATCTTTTTCCCTCTCGCTACCTCTTTCCTTATCGTAATCTCTCTCTTTTTTCCGGCTCCGTTCATTCTCTTTCTCTCGCTCCCTATCCCTGTCTCTTCTATCTCCTTTCCTGTCACGACTCCGACTACGGCTTCTGTATCTGTCCCTGCTTCTGCTTCGCCTCCGTTCTAGTGTGCGATCAGTACTTCGAGATCTCCGCCTTTCCTTTTCTCTCTCCTTAGCTTCACGTTCTAATCTCTGCCGTTCTCTTTCTCTTTCTAGCTCTCTATCAAAACTAGATGATCCATGGCCTTCCCGATGATGACTTCTGCTTCTGGATCTTCTGGGAGACCTCCTGGGACTGATGGATCGTCTTGGAGACCTTTTAAAATAAGAGATATTCAATATGAAACACAACCTTGTAAAGGTAAGGGACCCTCTTTACTTTCCAATTTATACTTTACGTAGACGGTCGATATTTAATCTCAAATACCAATATCATCTGATTATTTTAATCCATTAGCATCCATAAACTGTTTAGCCTGTTGCCTTAAAACCTATCTCAGTGAAAAGACGACACGTTTGTGGTCATAAGTAGTTCAATTTTGAACTTTTAACATTCATTTTCAAAATAACGTGTATATGACCTTGAACGTCTACGTTCTGCATGCCGGTCTATTTCTTCCATTCCCTCCTTGCCATCTTTCTTGATTTTTCTAGGTCTGCTTTTAATTTGCTGGTCAATGGTTTTCTGGACTGGCACAGGAATTCTTGGAAACAACGTGGAAAACCATTCAAGCTTAGTGAGGAAGGAACGAAGCATCTCCCCGATGGTCATAACGCAACCCCCACCTGCCTTCACATCCAGGTCCTACAAAATACAAGCAAAAAACATCCTGATGGTCAAAAATATTCTTTACTGGGTTTCAAAAAAAAAAAAAAAAAAATGCTGCTACATTACTGCCCTCTTGAAGTCTCATGATTATGAAAGTTTACTTGTCTCATATTCTAACACATTTCCTTAGAAAAATTCAAACTCTGCATCCTTTGGATTTGGCAGTATGTTACAGATAGGGAATGGGACTTAATATATATGCATGCAGGCACATACTAATCCTGCAGCCATCTGGACGGTAAGGGACTGTCGATGAAGAGATTAACGCGAAATCCCCTTACACAGTCTGGTTATATGGTATGATCTTGTATTTTATTTAAATGCCACAAAGTTGAGCAGTCCTCTCAAACTACATTTAATATTCCATTCTGTGGACATACAACTGCGTACCATCATACCCAACCCTGTGGCCTAAATCATTTAAGAGCTACATCATTGCCTATCTAAAAATGATCATAGAAAAACCTCTAGTACAAAATGGCATCCTAACAGAATTGGAAGCAATAGCAAACCAACTGCCATGAAGCAGTGAGGTTTCTAATTTAGAAATATGTAAAAAAATAAATAAATGAACAAATAATTGGAAACGCATAATCCATGATGACCATTGTCTCTGAAAAGGGTCATTACCGCATGAAGGCCTTCTTGCTATGCCCTCTCACAGCTCAGGACATGTTAGTCAGCTATTGTCAGTCCCAAACCTATAGTGCAAGCACACAAGGAAAGTGAGATTTGTTATCTAAACAGGAAGAGAAAATCTAAATGTAAAACTGCTTGCACTCACACACATTTAAGTGTTCAGATATACAGTTTTTCCAAATATAATCGCTGCAGAGATCTAAAGAAGAAAAAAAGGAGTTAAACGTAGCACCTGGAGAGTACGTACAGTTAAACAAAATAAACATAAGAAGCATTTTGTAAAGTAACTCTGTATCCTGGGAAGTTTTTCACAGCAGCATGACAAAAGATGAACTGCTTCCACATATCTAAGAACTGGAGGGAAAAAAAATCCCGCAGGTTTAAATAATTCCATATGTATAAATTTGCTTCATCCTACCGAGCTTGACCAGGACTGGCAAGAAACTTAAGACAAGCAGCCCCAAGCACTTTTTCCTACATAACGCAAAGCTACTGAAAGCAGCTGGGAGAGAAACACCAATTCCAAAAATATATTGGGAGATTTTAAACAACAATAAACAAATACACGCTGATAACCAGTATCTGCAAGAACTGAAATGTGTGAACTCAAAAAGGTGCTTTGAATAATGAACCAGTTAAGACCTGCACAACGAATCGCACTTGTGATCACTTTATTGTCCTGGGAATCAAGTTGTTTGTGGGACCCTGAAAACGAAGCCACCCCAAATCCTCCTCGTAAGTTACAATGCAACATTGCGGAGAAGAGTTCATATTAACTAGCACCACCTGGGGGAGAAGGAGGATATCACAGCCATGCAATCGAGATGTAAACTTGTTTTGATTTTTGTTACAAACGTACAATAACACAGGTTTACCTGAAATAACAGCTGTTTCCTTTGCACAGTGTTTTTGATACTTAGCATGAAAGAAGCTGTTCAAAATAAATACGCTGCATTGCAGTCAGATACAGGTATGATTAACACTATTTTTAATGCAAGTATTCGGACATCATTTGCAACTACAACATTTGAAATGTCTTGAAGCAGATGCCTCCTGTCACACTGAAGAGGGCAAGTGATCCTTCCTGTTCCATCTTACATCTAGGATGTAATTTAAAACCTGCTCAGTAAATACAAATTGCAACAGTATGTAGCAGACTGTAGAGTCAACTTCGCAGACCGAGAAGCCTCACCCACCAGCTCCTACTCCGTTTCTCCAGAGGGTAAATCAGGACTACGGCACCAAAGGTATTCGCCTGACTGCATAATAATGCAGCCTCTTTACCAAACTTCTTCAGTTAGCAGCTCAAGGTCCTTTTTTTGCCCCGTTAGCAGAGACATTAAGGTTACTAGAAACAATGCCACCTTATGCAGTAATTAGGCTGTTTGTTTCTCCTCTGAAGGAATCCTGGGTTTAGTTATTCCAGGACATGAATAACAACCACAAAGATTTTTTGGTAATATTTTTCCGGGTGAATGTTGGTTTCTACTATATACTTCCCACTCTTCTACATAAGCACCAATTCCCCCTGTCCCAATAACAACTGCAAAATACAAATTTAGCACTCTCGGGACTTACTATACGTTGCCTAAAAATAATTCTTCTTCCGAAAACCGCACAGAAGCCGCACGCACACAGCCTGCTGTCTGCATTCTGATTTAACAAACCTGTTTCACGTGGCTTTGTAATATTTGACACAGGAACATCCTAACCAACGGAAAATACTGTTAAATCTTTGAAATCTGAGAAAAACGACCCGGGTCCCCACTCAGACCTGCTTCCTGCACTAATTAATGAAATTACAGGAACATAACATTGCAACATTCAAACTACAGAAAACCTTATCAAGCAGTGTTTAAACCTAAAGTAGTAACATGAAAAGAAACAAAAGAAAACAAATTATTACCCTCGCCGACATACCTCTTCATCATCAAGAAAGGATTCAAACCAGTCCCATAGATCTGTAGGTGGTTGTGTGTACCTTTAAGTACAAAAAGAATGTAAAATTTTAATACAGCTTTCTGTATATTAAATTCGTCATTAGTTGATTATATCGATACTTACCTAATATACATAAATCCAAGAGCCCTAATATATGGAGAGTCTGTGTGAGTTATAAGGCCCATCACTTGCTTACGAGTGAGTTTCAGTGTAAATAATTTGTAGAGCAGACAAAAGGCAGTAGACACAATTCCTCCAGTTCCAACGCCACGCACCTTTCAAAAGAAAAAAAGTTCGGTGACAACGCAGGAAGTCAAAGACATTATCCCAAATCTACAAAAGAGTATGAGAACTTACACAGGACAAAATCTAAATCTACAAACAGAGCCCTGTGGAAGAAGTAACACTACTGGCATCCACAGTTCCGGAAGCAAGGGGAATATATCAACTCTTTGTAATAAATACTTTTACATCTAGGGACTGAGCCAACATACAAGCAAGTTTTAGCTATGCTTGGGAAATTTAGTTACCGGACAGAAAAATTTAAGAAGGCACGTACTTCTACTTACCCCTCCACACATCCCTGTCTGGCCTGCTGTCTTTCTGCTCCCCTTTTCCCATGGTTCAACATGCGTGACCTGAAAGGGGCGGGGGGAAGGAAAGAAAGACAGAAAGAAAATGACAATTGCAACCTCCATAACGTTTAGCTGCCTATACAAACCCAATTTAAACAATGGATAACCTGAATCAATCTTAAATAGCTTGTCTTCTCCTACCAAATTCAGGATCACGTCTGCTTTGTCATTAAAGCAAAGCATTTGGCTTTTTTTAATTACCGCATTAAGAAATTATAGCCAAAATCGTGGATGAAGTTTAAAAAAAAAAACCACCACAAAGCGAGCATCCATGCTTATTCTATACTCCATGTGCTTCGAATACTTTATGACTAAACCCCATCATTACTATTTTCTATGGTGACTAAACAATTACCTTTATTTAAACTGTCTCTTAACAAGTTTAGTGATACCTGCTGATGACAGCTACAGAAGTCAAAATCTACAGTCTCATATTCATAAATCTCATTTATGCGGTGAGCTTAGCTAGAGATTTCTTTTGAGTATCACCTACAGCTAGGACAAAAGAAAGATGTCTATGAAGTGTAGTATTTTAATCTAAAAAGCCAGTGTTTTTTCTCGTAGACTGCAGTGATGTTCTTAGATAAAATGGTTCCCAAGTACTAATGAGTAAAGCTTGCCTAATTCAAATCTTTCGAGATGCATTTAGACATGAGTGCAAAAACATAGTTAACCAACACCATTCCTTAAATTTGACAGTAAGAGTCTTAAACAAGTTAAGAGCCATAAAACTGCCTAAGCTACATTTGAAACTGTGAAATTCAGAGAAGTAATGTCTGGCTCAATAAACAAGTACATTTCCTAAATATGTTAACTTAAAAAAATAAGTAAAAGCAAGACAAAAAGGATACAATGGCATTACAGTGGATTAGGGATAAGAGTCTGCGGCCAAGTTGCACTGTAGTTCACAAATCGAAATTCCTTAACAATACACAAAACTAATTATGTATACAATCACATGAAATCAGAAATATACTAACGGCTGAAGCTGCTGACTGTGTTTTTTTTTTTTAACAGTTGCTGTCCTATCCAAATAGGAAACATGAGAGATGCCAATACCGTAGAATTCAAAATCCACTATGACTTCCTGTATCATTAGCATCGTGTGAGAAGTTCACAAATACTACGTAAATAATACTGCACAGCCTTCTGATTATTTACAGTTTTGCCTCTCACAGGAAATGAAAAGTATTTCTTAGTCAAAGGATCGGGTACGACACTATCACAATGGTAGTCTTCATTTTTTTTTTTAATTACAGTTACATTTATTGGCCACAATCAATATAAAAATGCTGGTTTTGACAGGTATCAATTAAAAAAAAAAAAACCCCAAAGCCCTGAAAACAACACTCATTTCAGACAAGAGTATTTAAAGTTTTGATCCTACAAAGACTGCTGCGTATGCTTAACTTGTTGGAAGCATACAGGTTAAATGAAGTTGAGGATATGCGCATGGTGCTAAGGTCAGGGTACAGAAAGAGGAAGTCATCCACTTTGCAGATACAGAACCGAAACTGGAGACCAGAACTACAAGTGAATTCATTCAAGTATCTAGACAGAATCCGTATCTTCAAAGATGGTTCCTATCACTAGCTGCCCGTGTGCTTAGGATCATCCTTCCTAAGAAACCAGCGCCCAGTGTTCTTAATTTTTTTAAATGAGCCACTTATTTTGGTTCCCAGACAAAGACAAATACACTCAAAAACACACCTGGTGGTGGATATCACGCTCACTAAGGGAAGGAGGGAAAAAAAAAAAAGCCAGCAATTTTTCAGAAATCTTAAAACATGAACAGAATTCAAATCTCCTGAATATCAAGGAAGTACCTTAACCATCAGGTTATCTTCTCCCTCACATCTACTACTCATGAGTAAGTAAGGGGCTGAGTTTTCTCTTTATTTAGCACACAGTTTTGAGTCAGAATAACTGTCAAGCTCAGTAAACAAAGTTTATTTACATTGGATTAATAAGTGGATTTTTAATGGTATGTCAAAATTCTTCCCCAATTTAAGATTAAGCCATTTATGGAATGAAACACCGAGACAAGCAAATGAACTATCTGACCTACTGCAGCTGAGCTCTACCCATACTAAGACGACGAATCACATCAAATATTTTTCACTACATCTGAAAGAGTCCATGTAAAATACAGTAAGCTCTCAAATTTTCTGAAAATATGTTTCTTTTATAAATTTTTCCTCCCTTGCCATCACTTGCAAGAATAAACTTTGCTGCTTTCCATTCTGATAGTCAGAATGAATTATTTCTATCTCATAGGCAGCAAGTGGTAAATTAACCGAAGAGAAGCTTTGTCGACAATCTATGCTACTCCAAGCATTAGGAGAATTAAGCAGTCTGCTCCAAATGACAGAGCGCAAGCAGGAAAATGCTGTCATTAAAAGGAAAAACAGTAGCACTGTCTCCGTAAGTAAGTACAAACAATGCCAAAAATCTCAAAATACTTCCGCTGAGTTATTTTTCACAATTATAGTGGCCTAAGTAACTTGACTTGCCCTGGTTAAATGAGACAAAAAGGCTACTCTTTTTTTTTTTTTTTAAATTTCAAAGTATATTGAAACCCACTAACTGACACAGTAACATTATCGAGCAGAATCGATTCACCCGAGAAAAACACCTCAATAACCACCAAAGTACAGGTGACCGAAGACAGCAGCCTGAATTATCGAAGTTTTGCTGTCATCACCAGAACAAAGAACGCGGCTGTGTTGATGAGCATTAATTACGCGTACCTCTACCTGGGAGACTGGCTTGATGGAAGCCTCGCTGCAAAACTGACTCAATCCTGCTAACAAAACACGAACTGAGACACGGGTGCGCTGGTACAGCTCAGTTCTCTCCCCAGCACGTCCTACCCAACGCCAAGAGAAGCGCCAGAATGAAGCAAGCACTAAAACGAACTATTTTTTGATAGGGCGTGGGGGGGGGTGGGGTTCCTAAGCTCTACCTGAGGAAGAAGGCCACAGGCAAACTCCCGCTGAAACCACCCACCGTCACCACCCCCCCTCCCCTGCACTCAGGCGGCCTTCGGCACCTCCTCGGCTGCGGGGAGCGCTCGTCCCCGGGAGCGGCGCGCAGATCGGGTCCCCCCCACTCCCTCCGACGGCGGGCGCAGTCCTCGGACGGCCATTTCATCCCCACTGCCCCGCCTCGCGCTGCCCGCTGCAAAACTTAACTTACAACGCCGTAATTCCACATCCCACGCGAAACGCACTTTTTTTTTTGCGCGCGCGAGAGAAGGCAGCACCTTGGATGCTCCCGATTAAGCAACAAAAAAACGAGATTTGCTCCCGCCCCTTACCGCAAGGCCAGGGGCGGGAAGGCAAGAGAGAGAATCCGCGGGCCGCGATCGAAGCCTTCCCCCGCCAAAAACCGCAACCACGGGGAGGCCCGGGAGAGGCGCCGGGACAGCCCCGGGGGGCCCGCGGGGCCCAGGGAGC